ATATATATATATATATATATATATATATATATATATCTGAAGTTACATATACACTTTCTACATTAAAATATAAATACTTCTTATGTTTCACACACACGGCCAGTCCAGCAGCTACTGTACCACCTAGAGAGATCTGAGGTGACGGCCACACACAAAACAAACACGCCTCACACACACACACACACACACACACACACACACACACACACACACACACACACACACACACACACACACACAGGTTATAATATAGTATGCGGCGGTCAGCAGGGCGGTACTGTGCAGGGGTCAAAATGACAGAGTGTGTGTCGGTGCCACATGAAAGCGAGCGCACACCTTCTATCACAGCATGCGCATTATAATCAGGACCTAATTAGAAAGGTCCGATCTGCGTTCTGTGTCGTCATGTCGGAGCCGAGCATCAGCTCCTCTCTGAATGTCCTTTCCTCGGTTCCTCGGTTCCTCTTCAGTCTGCAGCTCTTACCTCCACATTCTGCTCTACCTCACCCTTCTGTTCTTCCTCTCTTGTTTTTATGTTCCTCTCTATTCACACCTGCTTTTTTCTGCCCATCTCCTTAATAAACTTTCATTATTTTCCAACCTTCTACCCGTAGTTCTACTCCTCCCATTAACTCCTCCCATCTTTGTCCTCGTCGATCTCTTCCATCTCTCCTCTCCCTCTACGTTTTATCATTAAAAAAACAACTAGAAACCACCTTCAGATGGGATCAAACCACAGACTGTATATAAGAAGTGGACGTAGTCATCGTGACGTCACCCGTTAGTTTGTGGACGGATATTTTGAAGCCTTGAGTTCTTGACTTACGGTCGTCACCATCTTGTTGTTTGAACGGAGGAAACCATATCTGGTTACAGAGACCTGTCAATCACCGTGTAGCCCCGCCCTAAAGCATCCCCTGCTTTATGGTCTGTGTGACTCTAAATGGACCATAATGTACTAAATGAACATCATGCTGTATTGAAGAAGACTTGAAACTAGAGATTGAGACCATAAACTCATGTTTACAATGTTTACTGAGGTAATAAATCAAGAGAGAAGTAGAGTCATTTTCTCATAGACTTCTACACAACCAGAGGAGTCGCCCCCTGGTGGACAGCAGAGAGAATGCAGCTTCACTCGGCAGAACTGGAGGTTGCCGCCTGGGTAAAGCCAGATGCGACGCAAAATTGTGGGGGGGGGGGGGCAATGGCACCTGTGCATACTTCATGCCCCCTACTTGAAGGAGAAACACCATTCTTCATAAAGATATTCCCTCATTTGGTGTTTCGTAGACGGTGGCTGAGAGCAGTGTTTAACACGTCACTCTAAAATCCAACAGGTGTTCAGTTGGGTTGACTTCTGATGACCGTGAAGGCCACATGGTTCACATATCTGTCGAGTTTGGAGAAATAAGCTGAAGATTCAGCATCTCACAGTGGAGTGAATGCTGGAGCTGAGAGTGTTTCTGGTGAGCGGTCGAGCTGATGAAGTTGTTTGCGAGGGAGAGAAGGAAATAGACTGACGAGGAGGAGGACAGAGGAGAGTGAGGGCAGCGGTCCAGCAGAGGCAGCTGTGAGGCTGAAGGCCAGAAGGAAAGCATGAGGAAACACTCAAGAGATCACGGTCGTCTCTCCTCCTCATGCTGCTCTCTGCGTCTGTAAGGGCTCTGTGGAGATCCAGCACATGGCCATAAAAGATGCTCTTCACTGAGCGGCCGGGGGTTTGCAGCTCCGACAGTCACAGGTTCACTAAATGTCGGCCTTTCCAACAATAAAACTGCAGATCAAACACGGACGCGGAGCAGCGCTGCAGCAGTCCGATCCCGGGAGTTGCAGTCTTCCAGACATGTGGGAATCTTTATGTGGTTTTTCTATTGTTGACAGGAATGGGAAATCTCGTCCCAATAAAAAAAATAAAAAATTCTGCTTTTGTTGCTCTGGCACATCATGTATTGAATTTATAGCCAATTTCCAAGAGTGATTGAAACAATCTAAATAACGTCTGGAACAGATAGTGAAGTGGCACTTTGAAACATCAGCTCTCCATCCATCCAACCCCTTCTGGATCCTTCCTCCTCTCCATTTCTTCTGCTTTCCTTCTCTCCATCTGTCAGCTCTATTTCATATCAAGTGTGAAACTAAAGAATGGGTTCAATGGTACAGTGTTGCGTAAACTGAAGCAGACTGTTGTTGCTGTAAAGAACGCTCATAAAAAGGTTGTTTATTGCTCCGTGCTCAAAGGGGTTCTACACAGAACTTGTGTTCTACTTGTATTCAAGCTTCATTCTGGAGGTCCAACCATAGACTGGCTGATTAGTTTGGCTCGTGGTGATAAGAATCAGGCTTCAGAGAAGTGAAACCACTTTCCTCCGTATCACAAAGTAAACAGCTTTAGAGCCGTGGCCCCTGGATGCCAGGGGACATAAAGAGAGCGATGATGCTTTTGGATAAGACTTGTGTTGCAGTCACACGCACCCTTAACCAATCACAAGGGTTGACCAGGAACACGTCGGGCAGAGAGAAACAAACACAGGCAGGACATGTCCCGAGTGGAACGAATTGGGAATAGTTCACTTTTATGTTCCTCAAGGAGAGTTTTTCACAATTAGTTTGGGTTTTTGCAGAAAACCAGAACATCAACCAGAGCAGCCGGGATAACAGCCCGACATGACCGACGGTTTGTCACACTGAACCAGATGAGAGTCTTTCGGAAAAGACCGGAAAGTTTGGAAAAGAGCAGGCAAAAAAACAATGCCTGGCAGGTGATTGGATGAACCATCTGTCAATCAAACGCTTGCCGACACCGGTCGGGAGAGGAGCGGACACTTCAGTTCTTTACTCCTCTTTCAATGAAGAAATACTCTCCAGTTCTAGCTGCCATTGTTGTCCAGAACGCATCTCAGTGTCTCACGCACACACACACACCCATTCAATACAACTGCATTCCTGATAACTAATCATTGTGTGTGTGTGTAGTAGGAAGTAGCCAGATGTGATGTCTTTCCATCGGGAGAAGACTGAGTTGCTAGACAGCTGCTCAGTCATCACATTATACATAATCCATCTCTTCTCCTGTCAGAGGTGAAGACAGGGAGGAGTGTTCAAGTCTGGAACGCTTTACAGGTCTGTAGCTGTGTGTTTCACCACACACACACACACACACACACACACAGAGAGACAACAATCATTGCTATTGTATGAAACTGTTTTGTTCATGAAAGTCACCAAAGTTTCCTGCTGTGTTTTATATTTGCTACAGTTTGAAGGTGACCTTGAGTGATCTATAGTAAGTATCTCCACCGTATCCTGAAGTATTGTGTATCTTTAAAATGTTAAAGAGAAACCTGCTTTTTATTTTGATGTTTGAATAACTCTGTGGTTGCTGGAGCTTATTTCAGCCTAAAGCATTTAATCCGTCCAAATATATCTATGCACGGCATTATATGCAATATATTATATATCATACCTCTCAATCTATATACATATACACGTGTTCATCGTGCACCGATGCAACCTGCAACAACCTCTGGTTCCCCAAAGTCTGCAGTCTATCTCCAAACTGATCACTGTCTCTAAGATTTTAGTCTGAATTGGACTGAAACGTCTCGTCTTGTTGGACAAGAAGAACTCGAGGACTGTAAAGGTAAAGACATCCCTTTAAAGATTAGGTTCATCTTGCAGCAGTGATGTAAAAGGTTCAGCGCCCCGGTTTACCTGAGGCGTAGGGCAGGAAGCAGCTGGGGTTGAACTCCAGCTTCTTCATGAAGCGGATGTGGCTGTTGTCTCGGAGACAGTAGAGGTTCCTCTCGCCCAGAACGAAGATGGAGGAGGAGGCGTGGGAGTAGGAGGGCACACAGAGGTCCAGGGCCGTTTCTCCCAGGACAAACGTCCAGTCAGGCTGCAGGAGGACGGACACACACACACACACAAAAAGTGGAATAACAATAAAAGTCAGAAGGCGCTACCTCCCTCCTCCCTCCCCCCCCAACACTGCGCATGTGCGCCCGCACACACACACACACACACACACACACACACACACACACACAGTTACAGCACATTACCCTAATTTCTTCAATTTTAAAATAACGAGCGTGATGGACACAATGAGTGACACGTGTACCGTCTGGACACCCTTCACATTCATTCAGTCGTCTCTTTTTGTTGGGGATTTCCACTTTATGAAGGCAGGACCGTGGACCAGAGCGCTGAAGCTCAGTGAATGAAGACGTGATCTGTGTGTGTTGGCATCCGTGCTTTTGTGCTGCTGTGGGAAAATTCTAAGTTTTATGGGAGAAGAGAATATATCCGACTGAACGGCTGTGCTGAGGCAGCATTAGAACGTCAGGCTAATCATAAAGATGTGTATGTGTTACGCTCGTGTGCTGGTTCCATTCACTCGCAGGCTTCTTGTACATTCTTCATCAACGTCGCTGCTTATATTTTATACACTATTACAGCAGTTTTTAATCTCTTAAATCTAACTGCGGTTCTTAGTAATTTCACTGTTTTATCATCTTATTTCTGTTACAGTATGTGCTCAGCACGTACTTGAGACTTGACTGTCGTAGACGCAGAGGAACATGTCATTGAACTGTATACATTACCTGTACCGTACCCACAACAACCAACAACACTGTTATGTTATGCACGTTATGCACATTAATGTTTTGTAAGACCCTCAACGTACTCAACCCAAGAATCTCAACGGTTAACGGGAACCTAATCAGGTGAAAGAGGAAGAATACGGGTTCCTCTTTTGTTTAGATGTGACGGTTGAAAAGACTCACCGTCAGCCTCTTGCCTCCTCCGGTCTTGGGGGGCAGGTCCGGATCCTGTCGACTCTCCGCCTCTGTGGCCACGGCCAGAGTCTCATACCTGGGGGGGGGGGGGAGACAGAGAGAGAGAGAGACAGAGAGGGAGAGAGAGAGGCAGCTGCTGAACACTGAACACGAACACTTTCAATCTGCTGTTCACGGTCGCCTAAACAAAACCCAGCGAGCTATTTCATCACATGCAGCAGCATCAACTCTATATGCAGGAATCCTTCAGAGTGAAGCACCTTTATCGACGTTAGAACTTTCTTCACCGTCCATTAAACTTCAGCAAGTGTGCAAAATACTGCTACTACTGCTACGTTGTGCTAATAATAGCATATCGTCATTGTAGAGGCTAACTAAGGCCGTCTTGTGTTTGATGCTGTGATGCTCAAAGATAAATCAAACCCTCCTGATGATGAGGTTTCTTTTTAATATTAGTTTGATTTACAGATATCCATCTGAAACTGGTGGCTTTGACAATTTACTATATTTTATTGTGTCTTAGTTAGGCTCCCAAATGACAACATGCTAATATTAGCACAACATAGAGGATGAACAATTTCACTTTTGCAAATCCTGGTGAAATATGGTTTGAAATGTCACCCTTTGAATAGTCGCTGACACCTCTGAACCAGTCTGAGCATCTTTTCACCGGTGAGCATAGTCGTGTTTCTCAACAGGAGAGCTCTCAGCGAGCATTGCTCAAGGGCACTTTGTTCGGGGAACATTTCTCACTCAAGTGTTCCCTTCAGATATTCCTCAGCCAGCCTGAGGCCGAGTGTCCACAAGGTGCTGACCACAGTGACGACATCGGTGCAGCACTTTGTAGCCGCATTAGCTTTCTGCTCAGGAGGGAACAACTGGAGGAAGATGCTGGTGCTTAAAACAGAACAACAGAAGACGCTACGTGGACACGGCCTATAAACTCTAGCTAGTGAATCTCTGGTTACACACCGTGTCTCTCACCATAGCCCGAGACCACAACGACACCAGCTATTCTCCTTCTTTAAGGCCAGAAATCCCTTATTCACATTTAAATAAAGTGGAGCACTGCAGAGCATGTTCATTATGAACTAAACCCTCGGCTAGCCTCTCATGTCCTCCTCTTACAGCTTCTGTCGGGTCAGTCAACAAGCTGCCGACCCGCTGTTCTCCGGATCTGCGGTCCATCAGTTTTAATCAGCGAGCTGTTGGCGACCGGCTGAGGATAAAGTGGTCGGACTGATCTGCGGTCAGTTGATTTTGGCATCTTCGGCATCGGGAGTTTTCCAGTAAGAAGCTGGCAGTGAGAAGCGGCTTGGCGGGAATCTATACATCCTTCTCTTCTAACACCTGGATGAACGCGGAGCTCCAAACCCGACCCGGCCCGGACTCCAGACCGCAAACCCAGAACACTACACAGCTGCTGATTCATCCTCTCAGTGTCCTCACTCAGTGTTACATATTGACCTGCTGGTAATCACAGATGGCAGGTCTGAAATCCACCTGAAACCGTAAGAACCACAATGCAATATGGCTGCCACATCACTGGCACCGCTTGCCAATCATACCCGCCATCTTTACAGCAGGAGACACCAATTCCTGCTTTATGATTTCTATGTTTTCTTTAATATTCGACACACTTAAGACAAACAAATAGACGAACTGACTCCACAGATCAGTGTTTACTGAAGACTTTAGTGTGAAGAGGAATCTAAAGATGTTCACGTTCCACCCTCGTGTACATAGTGACGTGTAATTGGATCATAAACACCACATATACACACACTGTACACACTATACATACTGTACATACTGTGCTATATGTCAATCAAACTGCCGTGTTGAAATGCTTCAGCTGCTCTTTGTGAGTTTAGAGCTTTATTTGTTGTTGTTTAGTGCTGATACACATCTGCATGTTAGCGTCGTCATTATGAGCATGTTAGCATGCTGACGTCTCACAGAGCGAGTAGAGTGAACGTAGACCTTAGTCTGGTTTAAGTATCCTTTGTTTTTCATTTTATTCGCACCCGTCCAACTTTGTATTGCAACTGCTGCAAAGCAATTTCCCCCTCGGGATGAATAGAGTTTTGCTTTTCTTGTCTTTTTCATGCATTCAGTGAGAACACACTGACTCACAACCTGTTTAAAATCAGGCACGGTATTGTATTTATACACAGCACATCTAATACCCAGAGGCAACCCAAAGTGCTCTACAGATTACACCAGGAACAATAAAAGCAAGCACACAGAATTCATATGCAGCATGGAACAGGATGCAGGGGGGGAAATTTAATAAAAATGCAAGCGCTGCATATAAAGACTGTTACTTCCCTCCCTTTCTTTATTTTCTCTTTATTAATAGAAGAATAAATTGTCACATCACATTGCCCGAACATAACTTTATACCCGGATAAATCGAATTACCGTATGCGACTCTAAAAGTGACACTAATCCCTCATAACATTGTGCATAAAACAGCAAATGAAGCGCTCTAAATTAGATTTCTTTACTAGATGTATAGCTTTGAACCCGTCCGTGCAGCAGCGTACACGCTGAGCTTCTACGAGACAACAACGAGCAGACTAACGAGCTGCTTAACGGATGGCCACCAGTCGAGAAACCTTTTCATCACACCGTGACCGTTAGGAAACGGACCGTATTAAACATGTCAGCGGTTTTAAGCTTTTTAAAGCGACACCCAATGGATCGACAGGCCGACTCCTGCACGAGTGAATGATTCAATTCAGCCTCATAATACTGAAACAACAACGCAAAAATAACTGTATTCTCTCACTGTTTTCATACCGCGAGTCCACCCTTCACTTGGATGTCTTATTAATGATGGGATGTGAGGCAGCGTGAATGGATTAAAGCTGTACGCGCGTGCGCGTGTGCATGCGTGTGTGTGTGTGTGTGTGTG